TGTGCACACAAGCGTTGTATTCACATGGTGCTCCTGGCGCCTGGCACACGTTCTGATGCTTAAAATAGGCACACAACCAGCCTTTGTTGGGGAGAGGAAGGAAGGAAGGAAGGTTTCAGACAAAGGAGACAACACCCCAGCCAACCAGAAACCCTGGGTATGCGGTGGGGTGGGCTGGAGCGGTGTGGGGGGAGGGGGGGGGAGAGTGGCAGGGAACAGTTCTTGGAGTCAAAGTAAAGGTCTTCAGGAAAGGTACAGGGTGGCCGACGCCCACGGTGCCAGGAAGGCTGTGTCTGTGTGACAGATTTTTTTTTTTTTACTGTCTCCCCCCCCCCACCCATACCAAAAAAACAAAACAAAAAACTAGTTAAGAACTATAAAAAGTTAGGCAAAGGCAAGAGTAAAATACACAAAAAATTATTAGTTAGAAGATTAGCATCGATCCACAACCAGAGAAAACTACATGATCGAACATTTGTAACACGAGAAAACCAGGGCAGAGCTTGAACACCGTCCCCACGATCACAGATGATACAGCTGAGTCTCCCACATCTGGGGAATCACAGGGGCCAGCACTTCGCGAGTGCAACGGATACGCCTCTCCCCGGGAAAATCGCCTTCGCGATCATGGAATCTCCCTTGTCAGGTAAGTATGTGAGGGATTTTTATTTTGCCGGGTGGGTGATGAGTTGATGAAAGTGTCAGGGAAATGACAAACCAATCTGTGTCAGAGAGTGGATCCTGGTCACATGGGGTTGACCCAGCAGAAGGGGGAAGACTAGAAGCTGGCCCAGCAGCCGGGATGCTCTAAGCAAGAGAGTGAAGTTAACTCAGGGAAAGAAAGGCAGAAGAGAAAGGTAAGATCCAGAGGGCTGACACCAGACAACACCCCAAGCTTCGGTTTAGAGGGCTGTTGCCTGCCCAGGAAAAAAAAAAAAAAGCCATTTATATAGCAGCATGATTCTTCAATGCTAAAGGTGGGAGCAGAGCAACCCAGATGTCCATCCGGGATGAATGGATAAACACAATGTGTCCATCTACATGAAAAGGAGTGAGGCCCTGGCACTCGCTACAATGTGGATGAGCCTTGAACACATGATGCTCAGGCACAAAAGGCCACAGAGTATGTGATTCCATTCATTTAAAATGTCCAGAACAGGCAAATCCAGAGACAGAAAGTGAGTTAGTGGTGGTCAGGGGCTGGGGAGAAGATGGGGGTTGGGGGGTTGTGATTGCTGATGGGGACAGGGGAACTCATTGGGGGGACGGAATGTTCTAAAATGCACTTAAGGGAGCCCTGGCCAGTGTGGCTCAGTTTGTTGAGCATCATCCCATGCACCAAAAGGTCACTGGTTTGATTCCAGTCAGGGCATCTAGGTTGCTGGCTCATCCATCCCCAGTAGGGGGCATGCAGGAGGCAGCCAATGGATGTTTTTCTCTCTCCCTTCCTCTCTCTCTAAAACTCAATAAAAACACATTAAAAAAAAAATAACATAGGTACCATTTAAAAATAAAATAAAATGGGTTTAGGAGGATGGTTGCATAACTTGATAACCTTACCAAAAAAATTAAACCATGTGCTTAAAATGACTGAGTTTTATGATATGGAAATTGCACCTCAATTTAAAAAAAAAAAAAAGTAAAAAACAATGACTTTCCCTTTTGTAAGGTATTCAAGGAGAACTAGTAGCCGTTTCTGGAAGAGTCTTAGCGCAATGCCTCCTGCCCACCCGTTGGCAGGACAAAATTCGTTGAGAGAATTTAGCTAATCAACGCCCTGCAGAGTGGTCAAGGAGGAGAAAGATGAAGTGACCGCCTGGGACAGGTCACTGCATCTTTGAGCTCCCCATCAGGTCCCCAAGTCTCCTGGGTGACATGAACACTTTTCTCTAGACCCTGAAGAGAAGGAGGCCACGCCAAAGGGCAGCACAAGATAGAAGGGGAGAAAATCAAGGTCCAGAACTATCAAAAGGAACAGTGGAACCAGAGGGAAGCTCCCCAACATCAGCAGGGACCTGGGATTGCAGGAGCCAGCCCTTAGAGGACACAGGGGGCCCAGGCCGAGCCCTTAAAGGACCCAACGAGGGGGTGAGTAGGAAACAAAGCTTCAATAGCTGCTGTTGTCAGTTCAGACACAAAGGAAGGGGGAGAATAAGTGTATCAACATCCAGCAATCACACAACAGTCCTGGGCACCTGCCTCCCTAAAAAGTCCCAGAAAATTCCAAAGTCTTGGAGGCCAGGCCCACCGACCCTTTTGTAAGAAATGATGTAAGAAATTACAACAGAGTTTCAAGAATACGAATGATCTAGTAAATACAGTTTCAAAGACGATTATTTGTTTACAGGTGCAAATGAAGAAACCTGTGGTGACAGCTTGAACGGAAGCAGTTTTTCACACTACTACTTGGTGGACCAAAACGGAAATGCCTCCGTTCAGTAAACACGGAGCTGAACTGTCTGTGTGTCAGGATGCTTCCCATTCGGTTGTCTTTCCCTCCAAACACTAGGGCCCAGGATTTACAAACTGAGCACAAACCAATGGTGTCAGTCACAGGATCTTTCCCACTGAAGACCAAGAATTACCTGAAGAACTCACGCTTCATGCTCCCGGTCAAAACCAAGGAAACAAACTGCACACTTGGGCATCTTTCAATGACAGGAATAGATGACTTAATCCCAGATTCAAAATCAGTCTAAGTGGTCAAAGGCCGCACAAAAGGCCCACCTAGAAAGAGGTCAGTGTTTCTAAAATTCTCTAAAAGCGGTGTGATTTATTTTCCCTCTTAAAATGAGAGCACTGGATGGTTTAGAAACAACCCCCAAATCTGGGCTGAACTTCCTAAGAATCAAAGGTAAGAGTGTGGTTTTTAAAGGAAAAACAACTTAGTTTTATTTATAACAGGGGTCTCACCTGGGGCAACGCTACTCCCAGGGGACACTGAGTGCCATCTGGGGACATCTGGGGTTGTCATGACTAGGGGTGATCCTGGCACCGAGTGGGTGGGGGTCAGGGATGCTGCTCGGCACCCCGCAGTACCCAGGACCGCCCCAAAGGCAGCTGAGCCTGTGGAAGGAGCCGGGTCAATCAGGGTAGATAATCGTGGCCCAGTGGTGGCTCCTGTGGGGGACACCTAGGTGGGAATGTCCCATGCAGCCCTCTCTTAAGTAGACATGCTTGTTCCTTAACAAACCTTCAGAATCTCCTGGCATCGGATTCAAACAAATTCTTCTTTTTCTGTTGTTTGGCCCCCTTCACTTTTAACAATAGGGACTTTTTCTTTCCTTTTCCTTTTAGCAGATTTTTGTGTGAAAGCACAAGCAGTGATTCTTGTGTGCACCCCCAAGGCTGAAGGCCTGGAGTCAAGCTCTGATTCCTTCCCTCCCTCCCTGACAACCCAGTTATTCTATCCACCCACCTTGCTCCCCTCCCCGCCAAATACCTTAATTTAGAACATTATTATCAATGCTGCACGTAGCCTCGCCATGTGCCAGGAGTGAGCTAGGTGCATGCATTCTCTCATTTGACTTTGACTTCCCCAGTGGTCCTAGGAGGTGCCTGCTACTGTTTTGTTAGTCCTGCCTTACGGAGGAGTAAACGAGAACTCCCAGAGGCCACTGGGCCAAGCAGAGTCTGATACACTGTTAATCTTGGGGAGACCTGGCATCTGAGAATCAAGTTTGTGAACCTGGCCTTTGCCTGGCTGGCACCTAGCAGGAGTGCGAGCCCTCTCTTCCCTGCTGCTCATCAAGCCTGTCTTCTCCCACCCACCTGCCACCCCCAGCCACCCCCGTTACCCAGGAATAATAAAGTGCCAAAGTGCTGCCCACGCCCCTCAGTATCACTGTCCCCAAAACTCCCACTTCGGTTCTTCGCTCCTGAGCCCAAAAATTCCTGAAAAATTCAGTCACCGACACCAGCCCTTTTCTGCTTCCCAAGACGCTCTCCTATGCACCCTCCATCCCAGACACAGGCCTGCAAAGTATGTTGAACTCCTGCAGCTCACCCTCCCTTCTACACCACATGATTAGCGCCCCCCCAGAAAAGCGGGGACCAATCCCTTCCACAGTCCTTATAACTGAGTTCCAACGAAGACCCCCCAATTTCCTCCTCATTAGTCAACTCCCCACAAAACACCTGCCAGCCCTCTATCCCACCATCACTCTCATCACCCCCTGCACCCCGAACTCCACATCCCCCCGACCCCTCTAAAAGGGGCTGACTCCACCTCCACCCCGCAGCCCTCCCCTAATTCTGCCCTCTGGCCCCCTCTCAGCTCACCCAAACCCCATATTCCTCAATCTCCCTTCCCGGACAACTTGCCCCCCCCAATCCCACCCCAGCTCACTACTCACCTAACCTCCACTTCAACTAAACTCCCGGCCCCTCCTCCAATAACCTTTACCTTCGACCCGAACCCTACCCCTCCCCGGCTAACCGCGACCCCAACCTCACCCCCAATGCCCTCCCCAGCCAACCTCGACCCCAACCTCACCCCCAGTGCCCTCCCCAGCCAACCTCGACCCCAACCTCACCCCCAGTGCCCTCCCCAGCCAACCTCGACCCCAACCTCACCCCCAGTGCCCTCCCCAGCCAACCTCGACCCCAACCTCACCCCCAGTGCCCTCCCCAGCCAACCTCGACCCCAACCTCACCCCCAGTGCCCTCCCCAGCCAACCTCGACCCCAACCTCACCCCCAGTGCCCTCCCCAGCCAACCTCGACCCCAACCTCACCCCCAGTACCCTCCCCAGCCAACCTCGACCTCAACTTCAGTCACCTCCTCAGCGGACCTCGACCCCCCAGTCCTAGCCCAGACCCCCAACTCCAGCCCCGCAGCACCCTCCTCAGCAGACACCGACCCCCAGCGCGTAGCCAATGGAGCCCTCTCTGCGCCCACCCCCCGGGCTGCCCGAGCCGACCCTCCGCCCCGACCGCCCCCCAGCGGCAGAGAGGAGGGCGGCGGACCTCGTCCGGGACAACGACCGCGCGCGCCCTTACCTGTACTCCGGCCGCCGCGGCCGACTCAGCCCCGCTGCGCAGCCGAACCCGCCGCCCGGAGCGCCAGCGCTCGCTCCCCTCTGGGGGCGGGGCCAGCGCGCGGGGGGCGAGCACTGAGGCCATCGCAGCCAATCGTGGGCCGCGGCGGCGGGAGCCCGGCCTAGGGCGAGGCGCAGGGCGAGCCGCGCAGTAGGCTGCGCGCAGGAGAGGGGGCGGGGCTCCGGGCGTGAGCCGGCCTGGAGGCGGAACGCTGAATGGCACCGTTGCTGGCCACCCGAGAGGGGGTACCGCGCGGGGGGGCGGGGCTATGCTAATAAGCAAATAGAACACTGTGTGGAACTCCGGGGCCGGGCGACACGCGGGTTTCCAGAGGCGACTTGGTGACGCCAAGGAGGCGTGATGCGTTTCGCCAGTTCGAATCCCGAGTGGGGGCTCGAGTTCGAATTCCAAATCCTAGATGTTGGGCCTCGCTTGCGGAGCGGGAAGAATGTCTCCTCTTGATCAGTCGCGCGACCTACAAGACGCTAATGATAAATGCTCCCTTTTGTTGTACCCTCTGCATAAGGCTAGGGGAGAAATGATAAAATCCCCATTTTACAGAGGTGGAGATTGAGTCTCAGGTTAAACCCAAGTTCATTCGCCCAAGCCTGCCTCATAATTCCCAGGGTTTCTCAATTTCCTAACCCCTCAGCCTCCTCCCATATGGAATGATCCAGAATCCTGCAGGACCTGGACCCCTGGGATGTGCATTTTTAACACGTTCCCCTGGTGATGTTGGAAAACATTTAATGTCTCCAAAAGCATCCAGAGGTCATGAGGGGAGAGTTTTTTACATAGGAGGATGCAGCCACCATATTCTGGGCTTGAGAAACTTTGTGTAACACTGCGGTTCTGTGATCTGAGAGCTCCTGGCCTCCCGGCTGGGTGCCCCAGGGCTCCTATCATCCCTGTAGGAACCTCCCTGCTCATCCCCTGCAGCGCACAGAGAGAACCAGGTGTCTGGGGTGCCATCTCACTCCCCAGCCTACTTATCATCAGAGGAATTACTGTCTGAACTAGAGTTACAAACTAGTGGCTCCCCAGGCTTACTGTCTGAACAGGGTCTCAAGCTCACATGGTCCCTGGGTGAGATGTGGTTCAAACAGCCTTTAAAAATTCTAAAATTCATTGCCAACATTTAAAAATCAGGCAATTTCTTTTGATGTTGTAAACGTACTTTCTAAAAGATGAATTGTTTAAATGCTATGGCAACCTGACTTGTAAAAAAAGAAAAAACCTGAAAAAAAAGTAGAATCATTAAATTGTGTCCCTCTGTTACAAAAAAAAAATTAAAATCAGGCAATTCACAAAAATAAATCCAGATTTCCAGGTGCTCTTGAAAAATCAGAAGGTCTGGTGATTCTTGCAGCAGTTAGGTGCAGGAGCTGGATGGAGCAGCTGCACAGCTTCAGGCAGGGCCAGGACTGGAGTGAGGCAAAAGAAGCATTTTCTCAAATCCCTCGCCATCAAGATAAATACTATGTTAATGATATCTTTTTAAATTTCAAATTAAATGCTGAAATAATCCAGGATGAACAAAAATACTGTACCAAATTTTTCAAGAAAGACAAAATATGCTTCTGCACTTGTGCAAACCATCGTCCTTGCCTTTCCTTAGCCCGGGCCCTGTCAGATCCTATCCTTATCTAAAAGATTAATGCACTGTTCACCACGGCTTCCTTTGCATTAAATAGTGCAGTAAGGCTGGCCAGTGTGGGCTCAGTGGTTGAGTGTCGGCCCATGAATCAAGTGGTCACTGGTTCAGGGAATGTGCCTGGTTGTGGGCTCAGTTTCCAGTGGGGGGCGTGCCGGAGGCAGCCAATCAATGATTCTCTCTCATCATTGGTGTTTCTATCTCTCTATTTCTCTCCCTTCCTCTCTGAAATCAATAAAAACAGATTTTAAAAAAATATATGTTTCTTGATGGCTGAGATTTTTGGCAAATCCCCCTCCCCCTTAAATTTTGCACCCATGTTGAGTGTCTTGCACTCCTCACCTAGTCCTGGCCCTGCTTATAAGTTTGTAAACTGCTCTGAGCCATTTAGCAAATGGAAAAACCAAAGCCCCGTAGGCTCCTCTCCAGGTAAGATGGGGCTCTTAGTGCCTGCCTGTTCCCCTCAACTGATTGAAATAAGTGTGGTGTCATCAGGGCTTGTGTGGTCTCCTGTGGGGACCACAATGTTCCCATGACATCCCAGTGTCCTTGTCATAAAAGCCCGGACTCTTCCCATAGCCCACTGGGCCCTGTTTGACCCTGCTTACCTCTCTGATCTCCTTGGCTACCACCCTTCCGTCACTCCTCTCCTGTCACTCTGGCCTTCATTGGTTCCTGCCTCAGGGCCTTTGCACATGCTGTTCTCCCAGCCTGGTGCTCTATCCCAGATCATCCTCTTCGGGCTGCCCTCTACTTCGTCTTCATGTGTCATCTCAATGTCACCTCCTGAGTCAGCTTAGCCTCCTAACCACCTGGACTCCTGTCCCCATGTCACTTTTGTATCCAGGTTTCCCTTCTTCACAGCACGTATCTGAAATGACCCGATTCAGCTCTTTGGAGTGTGTATGGGGGATGTCCTCTCCCCCAGTAGGTTATAAGCTCTGAGAGGGCAGGGACCCTGGGGTTTGAGTCGATCATTGCTTTGTGTCCAACATCCAGGAAAGAGCCAGGCACATAGTGGGTGCCTATTACATACTGGATGAGTGAATGAATGAACGAACAAATGAATGGATGGTGTCTCAGTTCTTCCTCCCAGTCTGTCCCTAAATAGACTTTATCTCTTCCTGCTGAGACACCTGCCTGGCCTAATCTGAATGGGTGTGAAGGAGGCTGGAGTAGCAGATGAGAAGTCACATGTGGCAGGTGGAGGGGTGGGGAGGGGGAAGGCAGTCCCTCCCTGCTCAGTCCTCCTTCCCCGGCATCTGTGAGTACCCCTACTCACCCGCTCTGTGAGCCCTGCCGGGGAATTACCCACGTTCACAGATAGTCCAGGGAAGGTGTCCCAGGTAACATGTGCAGAGGAGCCTGGGCCGGAGCTACACAGGGCCAGTGTTCTCAAGCCCAGTCAGAAGCCCTGGAGCCCAGATTGCTCCTGCCTCTCCTTCCTTCCTCAGGGCCCTCTCCACCTGTCACATCCCATCCCTCACTTCCCTACACCCACAAGGCTCTCACTGCCCACCTTCAGCCCCTCCCTTCCTCATCCCCACTACTTACCCCTATCCCTCACCTCTTCCATCCCTCGCCTCCCCATCCTTCATGTCCTCACCTTTTACAGATGGCCAGCTGACCCCCCAAAGAAGGACCACTGGTGCGGAATGTAGGATCCACTTCTTTATTGCAGGAAAGACTATTTCTAGAGCAAATGCTACACGGACCCCACAATGGGAGTGGGGGTACCCACATGCAGGGGGAGGACAGGCAGGAACAGGATTACAGCAAGCATGGCCTGGCACGGTCCCCAGACCCAAGGATACCCAGGCAGGACAGGCCAATAGCCAGGGCAGGCTCTGCCCCCTCCTGCTGCAGAACCTCTTAGTCCCCAGGGTCAGGGCAGGGCCTGAGGCAGGAGAAGCCTGGAGGGGCTGGGCCCCAGGGAGATTGTGCTATCAGGGTGTGTCCCTGAGAAAGGGCCGCAGACCAGACCCAGTGCCCAGCCTCACCCACTCAGGCACCTTCAAGGCCCAGGAACCACTCCCGGGGTGGGGGAGGGAGCAACACCAGCTGTTGGTGGGTCCTGGACCTACCACAGGATAAGGGGACTTAGCTGTACTCAGACAGAACGCTACCAACGCTTCCATGGACTCATCCATGTGCCTGGCAGTCACACACACACACACACACACACACACACACACACACACTCCCTCTCTCTCATAGTGTGTCCCTTAGACATTTGTGGAGTAAGCAGTCACATGAACAAAGAGAAAAATAAACACTCACTAAGTTGGACACAAACAGTCCCTCTTATCTACAATAGTCCCATGTGGTCACATGACTGGACAGCCACATGGCCTGTCTCTCTTCTCTCTCTCTCTCTCTCTCTCTCTCTCTCTCTCTCTCTCTCTCTCTCGCAGCTCAGTCTCAGCGTGCACACACACACATAAGCACATACACACGCAGCTTTCTGACACCCAATGCTGCAAGAGGCCCAGGGAGAGGCTCATGGGGCAAGGACATGAGGGCAACTCCGCAGACAGCCAGTGAGCAACTGAGGTGCTCGTCCTGAGACTGCAGGGAACTGCGAGCCGCCGAGAAGCGCTGGAGCTGGGCAGTGGGTGCTTCCCAGGCAGGCCTTCAGGTGAGACTGAAGCCTGGGCAGCACTCCGAGTCGAGCCTCGTAAGACCCCGAACAGAAGGCCCAGCTAAGCCATGCCTGGGCTCCTCAACCACAGAACCTGGGAGATGGTAAATGTGTGGAGTTTCAAGTTGCTGAGGTTGTGGTCTTTTGTTATGTAGCAGTAGCTGACTGATACAGATTTTTTTAGCTGAGAGACACCTTGCTATAGAGTAAGACACAGTGAGAACAAAACAGGTTCACAGATTCTCTCCAATAAATCAGGTCACTCACTCCCGAAAACACAGGCACTTACAGGCACACTCATGCTGTTACATCACAAATATTCTGACCTTTAAACAACAATACCACCCACCCCTATGTTATTAAATACACAGACTGTCACATGCGCATACCACCCCAGTGACACACACACAGGCACACACAGACACATATATAGACACATTGGCCCCTACACAGCCATTTGCACAAATGCACCATCCCATGGCCACCCCCAACCCTAGCCTGTCATTGTCAGACACAGTCCCACAAGTGTAGAGATATCTAGACATGTACATCAAAACACTCAGAATCTCATGGTTGCAGAAACACCCCAACTGCAAGACACAAGCCTTCCTGGGGTCCCCCTCTCACGGGTACAGGTGGTGGGAGGAAGTGGGCTAGGCAGGGTTCTGCCTTACCCCTCTGGACAGGGCCCCAGGTACCCCACCCAGCACCCCAGACCCCTGCCTGGGGCTCAGTGGTGATGCGCTGTGCCAATCTTTGTAGGCCGTGT